CTCAGTGATTCGCCATGCCCACCCAGTCCACATGGAGCCCAGAAAGGCAGCGTTAGTGGAGTGCCACTCGCCGAGCCAGGCAGGAGCAAGCAGCGCCCAAGCACATCAATGGGAAGGCGAGCACCCGGGCTGTGTATGTACAAAGTTGCTTTTGGGGACTCCAACTCCTGCACTCCCCAGCCTTGAACTTATGACCCTCGGGGGAGGGGAGGCTGCCTCATTCGGGTTTTGCCTGGCGCCGCTTTCCCCCTGCCTGCGCTGGAGCCTTGTTTGGGCATCCAGATTAGCAAGGTTGAGCCTGTGCAGAGTGTGAGCAGCCAGGGGATCCCGCAGCCGGGCCAGGGTGGGTTCGGGTACAAATGGCTATTTAAATAATGTTTTTTGGTATTTTGGAAAAAAAAGCCTCCATTGAATTTATTTTTATTTTTTAACATGACTATTTCTTGGTCGGTTCACTAAGAGACATTTATTGGCAGCTATTGTTATAAAATTGTATAGATTGTGGGTTTAATCTGAAACAATTCAAATGAAACATTCAATACGTCCTCCTCTGTCCTCCTTTTTGTCTTTCTATGTCCTCCTTTGGTACCCATGTATCTGGCAACCCTACCTGGAAGGGGAGGAAGATCTATCAAACTGTGTAGAATTGTTAGGATTCCTATGCAGAATACTATCTTTCCATGAAGTATTTATCAGACAGGGCGTTACATTGTGCAGAATATGGTTGTGCCCTGTAGAACTGTAGGCAATTTCTCCTAAAAGGAGAGAAGAAGATGGGGGAGGATCCTGATTGTCAGAGGAAGGTGGAAATATCTGATGCGGAGAGGGATCATGGCAGGGTGTCTTAGGCAATTGGCAAGAACAAGACACCTTCTGAGTGTTCAGCAGCCGGAATCTTGTTACTTAATGCAGCAAATCACTCTAGAGTAGACCCATTGAATCAATGGGGATTCTAGTGAGTCAAATCCTCCATGAGTTCAATTGATTCAAATGGGCCTAGTCTAACTTCAACCTAGCATGCTAAAGTAAGCTCCAATTAAAATAGCCCCTTTGGAATCAATGCTGCTTACAGAGTAGTTGACTCACCAAATCCCGATTGATTAAATAGACACACTATAGGGCAATTCTTAAGAGGACAGAACAAGATGGGAGATCACCCTGGAAATCTCTGACGCTGAGGGGAATCTCCATGTGTCTCCCTCTCTCTTTGTGTATGTTTGTGTGTGTTTGGATGGACTCTGGAGAGAAAGAGAGACAGGGTCTCTGAATTTATACTAGTTGTCACAAAATAATGAAAGCCACGGGCTGGGGCAGACTGATACTATAGAAAAAGGTAATTAATACTTTGTCCTCACTGCTGTATTATACTTTAAACATTTATATATAATTCTTCCATAAAGTATACTTTTTGTTGTTGTTCAAAAAAGTATCTGCCTTTCTTGATAACATGGGAATTAGTTATGTAATAGTGGATTTGTACAGCACATTAGGTGAGGGAGGGCAACTTTTCCCAACTAAATTCAAAACTGCACGTTGTACGTATAAAAGAAAGGGGAGGGGGGAGTAGAAAACGATAGTATTTAGTACCATTTCATTGCACTGCCGATATAACCCATAGTTGGACAGTCTTTCATGACAGCAAATTCTCTCAGAACCTTTGGAGGATTCAGTACAGAAAACTCTTTTGATTACTCATCAAAGTCCTGCATTATCTCTAAGCATTTCCATGGTCTCAAACGGAAAAAAAAAGGACTAGGCAAAAAGTAGTTCTGCGGAATTCATTCTCCAGTTCCAATCACTGTTCATTTTATTCTCTGCAAAGGTTATAGTGTGCTTCAGTTACTATCTATGCTTTATGTAGTTTGTAAGCATGAATTAAGTTTCATTTGCTTTCCCTTTGTCCTACAGCAAATCATTTTTTTTGGTGCCCATGTCTTTTAATAGGACAGAATGTTTTAATATAGAGAGCAGGTGACCGTGTACAGCTAAGGTTGCAAGGAAGGGATGGGATGGAAAGGACTGTAGAAGCATAACATATGAGAAAAATCCAACTTTTAAAATGTATTGACATATTTATATTAAAATCAATAATATAAAAGGATATATTTTATCACTGCTGGTGGTGGTGGCACAGCAACTTAACTATTTGTGGAACGTTGCCAAAATATGAATACCAAGTGTCTGTGGTCAAAATCCTGCTAACTTATGCACACATAAATCATCAGCTAGACTCTGAACTACCTACAATAAACTCATAGCATTAAAAAGAAAGTGAAGCAGCTTCCAAAATATTGAACATAACCTCGGACTAAAACCGTTGTGAAAGTAAGAATTCCTTAAATTCACATGGAAAAGACTTTAATATAGGATCAGGCATATCTCCTTAGGATAGGTCATACATAAAAACTGATGTGCCAGTAGTGAAAACCCTTATCCATTGTTTGTTGCATAACACATTTTCAATAAAATATTGGAGAAAATCTCAAAACATGGAACACCTGTTATAGGATATGGTGTTCTTTCAAGTGTTTTGGGTTCTAAGCTATTTAGGGATTTGAACATAAGTTGTATCACCTTCAGTTGATGTGCTATATAGTGCTAAATGGTTCAGGGTAACCACTAGAAATGGGGATGACTCACAAAGCTGCCCCCATGAACTGACAAAGCACAAATTTATTTGTCAATTCATGGGGTTTACTAAAAAAAAACCCTGACCCCCTCGCATCACCACCGCCCTCAGCCATCCTCGCTGATGCCACCCCACCACCCCGATGTCTCCCACCATAATTGTCACCACCACCGTCTTCAGCTGGCCTCCTCAGCCACGGCCTGTAGAAAGGGACACTGGCTGCCTTTTGCAAAGTTGCCAGCTGTGGCTTCGTTTAGGGTAGAGAATCTGCAGCTGCCATCTTTGCAAAGGGCAACCTGGACCCCTTTGCAAAGGGCAGCCAGTGTCCCTTTTTACAGGCCATGGCTGCAGAAGCCTGCTAGAGATGGCAGCAATTATGGTTGGGGGCATTGACAGGGGGTGGTGGGAGGTGGCATGGCAGGGGGTTGGTGGTGTGGTGGTGGTGGGGAAGTGGCTAAGGTGAGGAGAGGAAAGGGGTAGGGGATAGGCTGTGGGCATGGGTGGCTGCCTATTGGCTCGCTGATCAGCTGATTGGCGGGCCAGTAGACAGAATGGGAAAGCTATAGGAAGAGAGCCTTCCCTCTCTTCGTATAGGAGACAAATAAAAATGGGAAAATATTTGCGCCTTCATATTTGCGGGGGTCTCTGGAACTCACGAATATGGAGGGACAAATATTTAATGAATCAGTGATTTCTAATGAATATCATGATCCATTTTTAAATTTGTCCCCATGTCTAGTAAGCACTGGTTGCCAGTCCCAGTCTTGTATAATGACAGACATGTTTTATGGGGAAGAATTTGTAATTGTGTGGTGTCTATCTCCCCAAGCCTAAAGCTCACTCCCAGGTTATTATAAACTGTTAGGGTCTTAAGTAGACTAATTCCCCTCCTTCCCTTAATTTTCCCTGTTTCTCTCTCCCCATCCCATCTCTCAGCTGACATTTTCAGCATTTGATGACTCAGCTTTCATCACCCATATGCTTAATTGCTTCTTCTCCTTGTTCTTATCTTACTGGAGGTTGGATGTCACCATTGCTATTCTGACCTTGGATATGGCAGCTCTAAATAATGATGTTGTGCCATATCCGAAGCAGTCTCTAAGACCTTAATTGCTAGAGTTATACAATGTGAATGATTGCCAGTTTTTCCCCTTCCTGGAGTTCCTATCTCAGGTTTCAGTTTTTACTTTGGAATTTGGGAACTTTGGGCAATTAAGTAAGTTATGCTAGTTAGTTTTCATGCCTTTACATCCTGGAATTTTTTCTTTCTGTAGGGCTTGGGAATTCACAGTGCCATATTTATTTTTACTATTTACAAACATCAAATATAGGATTCACCTCTAGTACTATGAAGAAACCTAACACTACCTTATTTTTAACCTCTTTCCTTAATCTCTCCTTTTCCTTTCATGCTTTGCCCAACTGGAGCAGGGAAATGGAAAAATAAATTGGCCTGGGCCCAGGCTATCTGGAAGACTGTTACTCACTTTATGATTCTCCGTGGGTGTCAAGACAGACTTTCTCTGTGTCCCACCACCTTCACAGGTGCGTTTGGTGGTAACATGGAAGAGGGTATTCTCTGTTGCTGCACCCCAACCCTAGAATTCCCTCCAACAAGAGACCAGTCTGACCCTATTTTAGCTGTCCTTCTGTAAGTGGGCAAAGGCCTTTTTTTTCAGGCAGGGTTTCCCTTAATGAGTGATTGTCCAGGAGAAGTTTTGCATAATTTGAATTCACTGGGGGTTTTTTTAGCTTTAATATTGTGTTTTAATTGTGCAAGCCACTTTGGGTCCTTTCTTAGCAAAAAGGCATGGTAATACATACACACGCACGCACGCACGCAGGCACGCAGGCAGGCAGGCAGGCAGGCAGGCAGACAGACATGCCAGGCTGTTAGAAGTTAGGCTACATTCTTTTCTCTTTGGCTCAATTGCACTTCTACACCTCATCTTGCCCTTGACCAATGCACCTATGTATTACAGACAGACAGACAGACAGACAGACAGACAGACAGACAGACAGACAGACAGACAGACATGCCGGGCTGTTAGAAGTTAGACTACATTCTTTTCTCTTTGGCTCAATTGCACTTCTACACCTCATCTTGCCCTTGACTAATGCACCTATGTATTTTGGTTTCCCTTCTAGTAATGCATGAAGAAGGTAGCACATTGCAAACTATTCTTGGATTTTTGACCTGGCTTTGTCCATATATAACACACCTTATGTTGGACAACGATAGGTACATTGAATGTTTGCCAGAAAATATCCCATAACAATAGCATTCAGCAAGGAAGTGAACGTTGTGTTCTCATTGCTAAGAGCTATGCTGAAGATATATGTATGGATTTTGATCTGTTGTCTCTTTCAGAGGTGTTCATGGGCATTTCTATGGTAAACGTCCTTGGGCTTTAGCAGATGAATGCATCGTGGAACTTATGGCTGATATTGTGGGTAAGAAAAGATAATTTCTGATTTTTAATTTTTTTTATTTTATTTAGTCTTTGGAAGCCTTAAAAACAACGAGAACAACAGACCTTTAAATCATTAATTTTTTTCATCCAAAATGTACAAGAATTTTGTCTGTTCTGGTGGTTTGGGAGGCAAAGTTGTGCTTTAAATCTTTTAAGTGAGAAGATTTAGTATCAATGGTAATGTATCACCAAATGTGTATCACAGAACTAATTGTGCTGTTGAGTTCTAAGATCACCATGGTCTACTTGGTCTAACACATGAAGCCTAAGAAAACTTGGCACTCCCTACAAGTGTCTTTGAACATCACAATGAACAGTGATGATACCTTTTGTTTTCAAAGCAATGGTTGTCTGTTACATGAAAATAACTTTAATTGCTGTCAAGCAAGCCAAATGTTTACAAAAAATTAATAGTGCAGAATTTAATTAAAAGGAGGGCTGATAGTACCTGTCACACTGTCTAGAGAATTTACAGGGAAGGAAGAAAACTTAGGTGGCATGAACGGTTGTGCTATTTTTGACTAATTATGTCACAAACAATACTCATGAGATGACACTTCAGGAAATCACATCCCCTGAAAGCAGTCACAAAAACAATGGATCTGCTGTTCATGCTAAGGATTGGCATATTCTCAGCCATGAATCATTATAATATGGAAATATAATAGCCACTACAGTAGTAGTAGTACCTTGCAAGCATGCTGGCAAACCACCTGGAACAACTGACATACACACAAACGTTTTGTACAGTTGACTCACCCAGAAATCATATAACCATATCTGTCTGTCTAGATATATACAAATGGATGTCTTTATCTCTAGATACATAAGTATGATCATATAAAATCTTCCAAATACAAATCATGAGCTCAGCCACTGAGTTCCCATAATACTTCAGGTGTCTGGGCTTTGAACTACAGCCTCAGTGGAATGCCCAGTCAAACACTGATTTTTAAGGAAAAGAGGAAGTGATAGCTGATACAGTAGCAGCTATCTTAGAAGATTTGCCTTGGTTGTAGTGATTGTGTGATCATCTTCTTTATACACTTGAAGTTGATTGTCTTCATCTTATGTTAGTATCTCCAGACATGCAAGTTCTGTCTGGCCTCATATCCTGTGAGTAATTCTTGGTCCTTGCCCCCTGGCATGGCCGCTGTAGATGAAAACACCTCAGTCTGAAAGAGAGAACAGTGGAGAAAAACTATTTGGAAATGCGTGGCTGTTTTCTAACACCTGTTAGGGACGTGGTGGCGCTATGGGCTAAACCGCAGAAGCCTTTGAGTGCTGCAGGGTCGGAAGACCAGCAGTCATAAGATTGAATCCACGTGATGGAGTGAGCTCCCGTCACTTTGTCCCAGCTCCTCGCCAACCTAGCAGTTCAAAAGCATGCAAATGCGAGTAAATAAATAGGTACCACCTCGGTGGGAAGGTAAACAGCATTCCGTGTATAGCCGTGCTGGCCACGTGACAACGGAAACTGTCTTCGGACAAATGCTGGCTCTATGGCTTGGAAACGGGGATGAGCACCACCCCCTAGAATTGGACACAACTGACTAAATGTCAAAGGGAACCTTTACCTTTACCTTTCTAACACCTGGCTTTCTATCTTCCTCTTGGAAGGAAGTATCCATGCTTTACCTAGACTGGTGGACATCAGTGTGGTTTTCAAGATGTTCTTGGATTGCAGCCCCATCAAGTCTATGCAATGCAGCCAGTATTGAGAGATGATGGGAATCCAACATACTTGTAACTTTCCCATGTTTCCTGCACTAAGCAAGTCAAAGTTGCTCCATCTTTATGCTACTACATGCCATGTTTCAGGACTGGTGTTCCGCTCTTCATCAAAGAGTTCAGAAAAAGTCTGTTAATTCCACTCTCCATTTTCAAGTCAAATGGGGTCCAGAAAATAGCATTGCTGAATAGGAAGAAGGGAAGGCACACACACACACACACACACACACACACACACACACAGAGAGAGAGAGAGAGAGAGAGAGAGAGAGATGCATAGCAACAAACAAAGCAATTACTGGCTGTGAATGCAACATGAGAAAATTTAATGTAAAATCTGCTAGACAGCCAATAAATCTTTTTTTCACACTTTGCTTTTTCCCTTGGTCAAAAAGAAAGGATCTAGTTATTTTTATATCTTGGACTCACATATATGGTTAAACACAGCATCATTTCTCAAGAAAAAGAAGAGTAAAATAAAAGTTTTTAAGCTTTTCTTTCGCTTCTCTGCTGTCTACAAAAAAGTGAGATAACCCCCCCCCCTTTAAATCTAAAAGGAAGAGATAGGATCTGTAGAGGCATGATTAATTCGGCCTCACACACAGGGTGTCCTGTTGCTAGTGCCTCCCACCCAGTGTCCACTGCCTGCCTAGACTTCTTATACCCAGCACTGCATGATCTATATGGAGAAAGCTGTTTGTACTCTCTTGATTGGGGTGCCATATTTTAATCTCTCTATAAAAGAGCCAATGAATAAAGATCCTCACATTGTTAACTTGTTTTCCTGTGTTTTGGGCAGTATTTCACAGCTTTGTTGCACACCAGAGGCTATTAAGCTTTCTGTTACGTTAGTGCTATCATGACCTTTTTTCCCCTCTCTGTACAGGTAATTTTTCCCCCTCAGTGGCTGTACAATTGAGTTGCAAAGTGTTACTTGGCAACCAGCTTCCAAGTCTTAGCAGGATTTTTATTATGGCAAATTTCACTTTATTGATTTTGCAGCATGTTAATGAGCTCGCTTTTTATTTTTTTCATAATGGGAACAAACTACCTTTTGAAGAATTCCAAATTGTGGTCCCATTATGACAGCAATCTCAACTGGGTAATGACTCCATCTTTTGCCTTCAGGTAAAAAGAGAAAATGCAGAGAGGACAAATACAAGACAAAGCACCATTAAAATACTCTCTGTTCACTGTAGTATTTAAGACTAATATGCATTCGCTCCAGGAGTATGCAGCAAAAGAAAGGCATTCCCTTCCTTTAGTAAGCATGGTGTGAGAAAATACACTTTTCTTTTTTAAAAAATACTATTTTGCTTTTAATGCTTATGGGGGAATAGGAACTGCTGATGTGTTTTTGCAAAAGAAAGAAAGAAAGAAAGAAAGAAAGAAAGAAAGAAAGAAAGAAAGAAAGAAAGAAAGAAAGAAAGAAAGAAAGAAAAAAAGAAAGATTTGTCTTGGAGGGACTTATTCGGGGATAAAATTAAAGCAGTAAATGGCTTTTCTTTTGACCATTTAAAGGTTTATGGCTCTGTAACATCTTGCTTATTGAATGAGTGTACAGTTCCTTGGTAAATGAAGGCCCGAAGAGTAAATGAGAAATGTGGAGTTATGGTCAATGAAAAACCAAACTCCAGCTTCCATGCTCCCCAAATTTCTCCATGTAGGGACAGAACAAGGAAGGAGATTCCCCCCTTTTTTCCCTCCCCCTCTACTGCTGCATTTTACAAATATGCTGCAAATTCGGCAGTATCATCTTCAGGTAGAAAAATATCAACTCTTTTGCTCATCCCACACAATTCTGCTTATCCTGTACTCTGGTGAAGAGAGCACAAATATCAAACTAAAGCTGTGGTCACACCAGCAAAATGTTTCTGAGTTACTCCTCATGAATTTCAACCCTTTTTAAAGTTCAGACGACACAAGGACATTATTGATTCTTTTGTTCCCCTCTGTGCTATCTCCACATCAAATCCAGCACACTGGGAGGCTACTACTCGACTTGTTCTGCATTGCAACCAACATCCCATTGAGTGTGTACTCCAAAACTGATTTATTTCCTATGCATCTGGTGTGTGGTCCCACCTCTCTCACATACTATCATTTGACTCCCTTAATTTTTAAAAAATTAATTTTCAAATGGGAATGTTGTCATATTGGCATACTTCTGTAAAGTATGAGGATCAGTCCCCCGACTGTATTTTGACCACCATTGCACTGCATGGTGTGTTCTCCTCCACAGAGGATAATGAAGCACAGAAATAGGAAGAAATGGCCCAGATCAGTACATGACCAGCAAGAGTCTTTTGCTGACACAGCAATGTACTCATAGATACATATAATGAGGTTCATAATTTTTTTATGTACTGATCTGGGCCATTTCTTCCTATAAATAAAAGGAGGGAATGGGGGCAGAGAAAGGAACAAGAAAAGAACAGGAACATGTCCCACTTCAGGGGTGTAGATGGATGTACCACATCTAATTCACCCCCCAAAAGAAGTAGAATGGTTAAAAAAATGTATGAATCTCTAACACAGACTATATGCCATGTGACCACGACATATGACTATACAGGAAGCAAAAGACATGAGAAAGAAGGGGCAGCCTGATTTGCAGATACTCTGGATGATAATGCTTATTTGACATGCCCAAACAAATTTTGGAGTGTTGGTGTGTTAGTGAAAGGAAGGGGGAAAGCCTCTAAAGAATACTCAATACAATTTTGGAGAGGTAATCACTCTGGATGGTATATTTGACATGCCCAAACAAATTTTGGAGAAGGAAAATATGAGTGCTTTCAGGTGATGCCATTATTCCCCTCCCCCTCCTTTTTGCCCACATACATTTCAATCAATGACTTGGCTCCCATTGTACTAGGTGTCTATCTAGTTACACCAAACAAATTTTGGAAAAGGAAAATATGAGTGCTTTCAGTTGATGCCGTTATTTCCTTCCCCCTCCTTTTTGCCCACATACATTTCAATCAATGACTTGGCTCCCATTGTACTAGGTGTCTATCTAGTTACAACAACAGCCTTTCCCAAAGTCACAGTGGAGGTACTGGATGGAGTATCACAACCCCCTCCTCCCCCAGCTTTCCATTATAAGGAAGATTGATCAGGTAGGACATATGGGGGTTTGTGCTGTCTGGGTTCTGTGGTGCTGAGTAATGAGATGGAGAGAGCAAACTTCATTTTTTTTGTCTACTGGAAACTTTTCTTTGAATATTGTAATAGATTAATTGGATCATAGAAGCGTCATTTCCGAAAGGCAGTGCAGGCTATGAAAGGTAACGATTTTCCTAAGGCACATATAAGGTTTGTTTTGTGGCCTCCAAAATCCAATAAAGAAAAGCTTTTAATAAATATATCATTTACAAGAGACCAAGACTTACATGACAAATGTGGTGTCATATTCAATATAAGATACTGGCACACATCTAAAGGTGAACTTCAGATTAACCATGTGTTTTTTGTTCTACGCCTTAAATGGAGAGAAAAAAGTAGTTCTATTTATGCTCTGGATAGACTTTGGAAGAGGGTGGGTCAGGTTAAGAAAAGACCAGAATTTGAGACTAATGAATAGCTACTTTATCCATACTAGGCCCAGAGTACTGGAGCTTATTTCATGGGTCATCAACTTTATAGGTAGAATTCAACAGATTTCTATGATCTTTGATGCAGTGTTAGTGTGCATAGTTGGAATGTGTTTCTACACACACTTTCAAAAAAAATGGAGAGAGGAACTGGAGAACAGTGAAAATGATATTTTTAGTTTTAAAGGAATACACTTTTGTGGGAGACCATATCTTTTTTGATGGTTCATTTCTCCCATTCATTGTCCTAGAGAATTACCTACTAACAAGAGAAGTAAGCAAGGAGAAACAAAATAATGAATGCAAATCCTTCCCCAGCTCCTTTCCTCCTATGTGTTCAACTGAAATCCAGTCTCACCTTCTCCATGTTGACAGCATGTCTGAGACTGGTAGGAAACACTGCCAGTCCTCCTTTTGACTATTGATTGTTGGCCAGTTCACTATGTTTTCCTGTCAAACACAATGAGGCACAAATAATCTACACCATGATATCTTTTGCCATCCATTTGTGCTGAATTATATTGTCCATTCCCACAAAGTTGCCAGTTGCTTCCAGGCAGCACTCTTTGCACTGGAAAAGTCATAAGGTGGTTCGGGCCCTCCTGCACTATGAGGATAGGGAAGGCACCATGGTGACCCTGTTTCAAGCCAGGACCTCATATCTGCAGGTTAGGTAAATGTATAGCTTGCCTACAGCAAAGCTCTATATTTTCCATTTATTAAACAGTGTTCCCACTATCTCCCATATATTACACCTTTTCGGTCTGATGATATTTCTTGCCCAGAAAATTCATGGTTATCCATGGTCATTGTATGGATTCCAAACATCTTTCCACAAAGATGACAAATTTTGTGGGGCATCATGCTCTCTCAAAATGTAGGTAGTGTCTTTGTTGTGGGGCATCATGCTCTCTCAAAATGTAGTAAACCTCAATATTTTGTCATTTGCTTCAAGTGTAGGGATTAAACACGTGGAACTGCCTATCCTCTGTTTCTACATAACTGGATTAAAAATGGCCATCAAGATGGGGGTCCGATATGCTATTCCACAGCACTTTCCATTGGCTACGTTGGCTAAGACTGATGGGAATGGCAGCCTAACAACACCTAGTGGGTCACAGATTGTTTCCTTCTGTTATACACAATGAGTGCACAAAGTGATACAGCGTCATGTTGTATATTACCTCATTGTGGATGAGAAAAGAATGAGTATTTGCCCTGATTTTTTTCCCTCTGCTTTCTTGTTTTAAAATTATCCACTATTCCTTGTTTTCTTTTCACATCCTGCCGTTACCATTAATGTTTAATTAACCTCCTACTTTTAGCTGTTTTCTTGCTTCAAATGAATATCTTGATAGCTTCATGGTACAATGATTAAACTGCAGTATTGCAGCCAAAACTCAGCACACAACCCAGGTTCAGTCTCGGGTAGCCAACTTGAGGTTCACTCAGCCTTCCATCCTTCCAAGATTGGTAAATTGAGTACCCAGCTCACTGGGGAGAGGCAATGTTTAGCCTGCATAATTAAATTGTAAACTGCTCAGAGAATGCTTAAGCACTACAGGGCAATATATAAGCAGCACACTTTGCTTTGCTTTTAATGGAAATGATATTTCAATTTAGATGAAAATTAGAAACTTCTTAAAATGTTTACATGCCTTTCTGGTTCCTGTGAATATTTTCATCTAAACCCATGAGCTGAAGAATTTTTCTCTATGTTCATTTTAAATGTGAATGTTCATATATTTATTGTGTTACATTGATGAATGGGAAGTAGAGATGGAGAGAACTTGATCATTGCTAGCATATTAAAAAAGCCAATTTGTTGTATCTGTGACTCCCTTTAAATGTTATTAGTTACACAAAGTCCACTATCCATAACAGAATATGATAGCATAATTCTGCCATAACATCAGTTACTCTTCATAGTAATCTTATAAATGACTGCTAGGTTTTTGGAATAAAGATATGAATAGTTATTGGGCAAACTCTTCTTTTTTTAAAAAAATTAAAACACATTTTAGCTTGACACAAGAGTCAGCTTAAAAATAGATAATTGCTTCTAATGCCATTTAGGCCTTTGTATGGGAGACTTGTTTAATGACAAAAGTACACTGAATTTGGCCAAGGTGCTGATGATAACAACAATTTAATAGAGGGGTTTCAAGGGAGGAAATGTTGCTACTTCATTATCTGTTTTATTTGCCACAACAGACTGGTAAAAATAAATATTTTCATGTTCAAATGATGCACTCAGCCAGTCAGGTTTTTTTAAAAAAGAAATTGTCCATGGTGACACATCAACATGTATTTACCTTTTAGTGGTTAGGGAGACATTGACTGCAAACCAATGTCATATCGTTCTGCACATCAGTGGAACAGACTTTATGCATAACAAAAAGAAAAGTGAAACATCTGTGTTATTGCTTTTCAGGGGCTCATAAAGGAGAGATAGCATTAATGAATGGCTTGACAGTTAATCTACATCTCCTAATGGTAAGTTATCAGAATGTAACAGTTGCCTTGCTAGAACACACTATGGAATACCTTGTCTGGAATTCTGTTCCAAGGGAATTTAATGCCTTGAATTGCTGAGGACATTATTTCTACATAAGTACTTGATATTCTGCACATTACTGTCTCCAAACAGGAAGAATCTATGATAGGTCTGCCTTCCATGAATTTGTGTAATCTGGGGAAAACAATATGCTGCTCCTGTGGCCCCCAGCTCTTCTCTGGCCCTTCTTTTTCCAGGAAAAAGAGACAGAGAGGGAGAGGGAGATTGGCAGCACCCAGATATCTCCAGGAATGATGACTCACTTTTTACATGGTTCAGAGCATCACCACCACCTGCACTGCTTAACACCCCACAATAGTGACATTTGGTACTTCTTATATAAGTGAGGTGGGCATCCACATTAGGATTTAGTCCAAACATCAGAGGAGATAATCAACATGCTGAGCTCTATCCCCAAAATAGAGAGTCTCTTGAATATTACCTTTAACATTCAGTCTGAAATCCTGAGTGGATTAACTAGGCAGCTTCAGCACCTTGGACAGCTGCTTTATAACTCAGATTATAACCTAACAGTATTCCCTGATATGAGAGCCTCCACTGCCCCCAAATATCTGCCTTAAGTTTTCAAAAATGGAGGAAAGCTTCACCAGTTTTGTGTTTGGGGGGGATTTTGGACAGCCAGTGTATTTCCCCCCCATTCATAATTAAGGATTACATTAGTCCAAACCTGAAAGAACATAAAAACCTAATAATGGTTGCCCAAGAAACCCTTAGAGCCTGAGCTTTTTAGATAATCAAATCTGCATTGTCAATTTTTAAACATTTTGAGATGCAGACTCCCATTTCTACTTTTATAAATAAATATTCTCATAGAAACATTTTTACTGGAGATTGAAATGATTATTCCTTCCTTCTCTTTCTGTCAAGCATTTTGGTAACATATCTTACTTAGGAGCAAGACTCCATACAGAGTTCTATAAATAGAAAGTATAAAATACAAATATTACCATTATAAATAGTTTGAGCAAACTCCTTAAGGAAAGGACATTACACGTCAGTCACTGAAAGGTAAGGTTTAGGGCCATTCTTCAGGAGAGGCATATACACATTACTTGCTTCTTAGGTTTCTACACACATTTTCAAAATGACATTTTGATTGCTACCCTGACATTTCCTCAAAAACTATTACAGTTCACAGACACTTGTTTGCCAAAAGAGAGTATGAAACTATTTCGTTCAAATTTCTAGATGTGAAGAGGGCGGGCAGGGGATGAACTTATTCTGTGGAGATATAGAATACCAACCTATCTTATATGGACACTTTGAAGCTTTCCACACAGATACGTTTCATAAAGGAACATTATAATAATCACACACTGACAACAATATCCAAAGGGGTGGCATCTAGAGGTTGCAAGCTCCAGTAGCAGCCACACTAACAAATGCGGTAAGAAGAAAAAGGGGTGAGGTAGAAAGTATTTTAATACCATTCTACCAAATAGGTTGTTTTGTGTCTGGTCTCTGTGTGTTTATTAATTTCATTGTATGGGTATACTGTGTATATACTTACAATGACAATCAATCAATCAATCAATCAATCAATCAATCAATCAATCAATCAATAGGAAAGATACATGGGAACAGGAATCAATTCAAAGTTCTGTGAATGGGTTTGGCAATGAGCTGAGGCACTTACTACTACTGTTAGTATCACAACTACTACTATAATTAGATTACCCAATCTAATCTCTTAGTCCAGTGGTTCTTAACGTGGGCGATATACTACTACTATAATTAGATTACCTAATCTAATCTCTTAGTCTATCTGCCTAAAAGGGCCACAGAACATTCCATCAGGCATAAGCAGAAAAACAATTAATTCTTAACTGTGACATAGAAAGCAAAGCATGTTCATCTGTCTCTGAGCAGCTCTGACAGAGCGCAAGCTTAACGATATGCTAGCTCTAATGGGTTTGCAAATGGGCAGAAGTGTGCTGGCACAGCTTGACCCTGTGCTGTTTGATCTTGGAGATCTGTGGGCAGAAGATCTGCTTTAAAATATAATAATGGATCATGTTAGTGATTGTCCAAGAAACCCTTTTAAATTTACTCATCAGAGCCTTGGCTTATAAATAAATATGCTCATAGAAATATATTCACTGATATGGAAATAATTTATTCCTTCCTTCTCTTATTGAGAACTTTGGTAACAGATCTTACCTACCTAAGTTCAGCCAGCAGAAAAGCCAAAAAGGGGCTGGAGAAAGCAGCAGACTTATACCAGCCCAACCCTTCTCTAGACCAAGGTCACAGTCATTATACTGTACTGCCACAAAAGTAGGCCAAAGGGAGGGAACTCCTAAGTAATTTCCAACCATCCTCAGCTGGGAAGGGCTTGGATTTAGCAGACTTTTAGCTGTCCTACTGTCAGCTCAGCTGGCCCTCCATCTATCTCTAGGAATGGGAGTAATGTAACATCTGGCAGGTGTGGACAATGGCAATTTTCATAATGACAGCTAGATAAAGTGGCCCCAAAAGAATGGGAAACTGCTACTGTCTGTCTGTCTGTCTGTCTGTTTAATTTCAATGCTTGTTTCTCCCAATTATAGGACCCATGGCAGTTCACAAATTATTAAAAGAGCAAACCATTTAAAAATACAATAAATGGTTACATAAAAATAATTAAATATATGAAAGTATTAAAATAATACTATAAGTTACAACTGTTAAAAAAACTAATCACTTCCCAGTTAGCTGCTAAATGTCTGCTTAAAAACTATGGTCTTCACCTGTCAAAGGAAGGACAAGAGGGAGGGCCCAATCTGACCTCCCAGAGGAGGGCATTCCACAACCTGGGAACAGCCATGAAGAAGGACCTCAGTTGTACCCCGCCAAATGTGCCTGAGGCTCCAATACTTTGGCCATCTCATGAGCAGAGAGGACTCCCTGGAAAAGACGCTGATGTTAGGAAAGTGTGAAGGCAAGAGGAGAAGGGGACGACCGAGCATGAGATGGTTGGACAGTGTCATCGAAGCTGCCAACATGAATTTGGCCCAACTCTGGGAGGCAATGGAAGACAGGAGGGCCTGACGTGCTCTGGTCCATGGGGTCACGAAGAGTCAGACATGACTTAACGACTAAACAACAAACATGTACCTGAGAGAGCAATAGGACTCTGTTTGTGCAGAGGACAGGGTTTCCTGGCACAAAAAGAAGTACTCTGTTGGTTCAATTTTTGCTGCAAAGAGAATTTTTAATTCCTGTCAGGTAGAAGAAAACAACAGCAACAATGGGCCAACCAGTCGTTTGCAACTTAAGACAAGTCTTTCCTTTGTAGGAAAGTGAGATATCATTCCCTTTTTCTATGCTGGCTCTTCTCTTGGAAGGCACAAAGGAATCAAACTCCCAACCTCTGGTTCAGTAACCAAACTCACTGAACTATCCAGCCAGGTAATTGCAAAGGTTTCTAAAAAGTATTTTTGTATACTATTTTATTTATCTATATTATTTATATGCCACCTTTCTCCTCAACTTCATTTGGCTTGCTGGATTGCTCAGTGGTTAGATATCTGAATGCAGAGCCAGAGGTTGGAAGTTCAATTCCCCATTGTGCCTCCTACGAGTAGAGCCAGCCTGTGTGGCCTTGGACAAGCTGCACAGTCCCAGGACATCCCCCAGAAGAAGGAAAGGGTCACTATAAGTCACAATCAACTTGATCAAACAACAACAACAACATCATCATCATCATCATCATCATCATCATTCTACTACATTTACATATAGGAGAATACAGAGTGTTGGAGCATATTAAGTCCATGATTCGTTTTCATTCACTGGTGTAAAGGATTTTAATTCACTATTTTTTTAAAACAGTTATTGTGTACATTCTTATTGTGTACACAAAATTTAAAGATATTATGTGACACACTATTTCTCCTTTCTATCAAAAGCCAAGGAACATATTTCCATTCTGGATTAGTGTCGGTGTCAGTAATGGACAGGACAAGGACAAATAAACTGAAACTTAATCCAGACAAGATGAAGGTGCTCCTGGTTAGTCAAAATGCAGAACAAGGAATATGGATTCAGCCTGTACTGGATGGAGTTACTCTTCTTTTGAAAATACAGATGCACAGTTTGGCTATACTTCTGGATTTCTCTATGAATCTGAATGCCCAAGTGTTGGCAGTTGTCAGGACTGCTTTTGGACAGTTAAAACTAGTGTGCCAGCTGCACCCATTCCTGGAGAGGTCATAGAATCATAAAATCATAGAATAGTTTTGTTGGAAGGGACCTACAAGGCCATGAGGTCCAATGCCCTTCTCAATGCAGGAATTCAAATCAAAGCACAACTGACACATGGTTGTTCAATTTTATGTTAAATGCCTCCAGCACTGGAGCGCTCATCACCTCTTTAACAACCCAGAGTAGACCTTTGGTCTAGATGGGTGGGATAGAATAGA